CATGTCGAGATCGATTCCCCTAATAACATGTATTTCTCCTTCCCACATTAGACTAACAATGCACAGCGGAATGCCCATTACACACACAATTGCTTTTCTTGTTCAACGAATCACAGAGAAAACAAGTTAAACTTAAAGTAAAAAATTACCTTGCTCAACGAACCACACACAATCGCCTTTCTTCTTCAACGAACCACCTCAACGAACCACAAACAAATCCCTTTCTTTCACGAACCAAACGCAAAGAACGAACACATGAACCACGAAAATGCACGCGCAGATGAACCACTATCCAAACCCAAAGAAATAACAACAATACTAACACGAATTTTAACTGATTTTGAGTACCAATTTCATTCCAGATTAAAGAGGAATCAGTTCCATCCCCAGATGACTTAACACACGTCAGCAAAAAAGCAATTACACGTGGACAGAGACATTAGACACATCAGCACATTTTTAACGGTGTTAGTGTTCGAGGACTAAAACCAAAATTTCGAAAAGAATAAGGACCAAATTGTACCTTATTTTGAAAGAGGGACGAAAACTAGAAACGGCCAATAGTTTAGGGACTAAAAACATATTTAACCCTATAAAAAATGCAGGAAACATGAACTTTAGTCATGTAATGATGATATGATGACCAAAATTTCAAAGTGTTTTGTTTGGAGAAAAAGTGTATAATGTATCATCCCACTATAAAATTTCCACAAGTATTGTTTGACGTGATGATGTTTATTCAAAGTCTTTTTGTTTCTTTCCTGGAATTTGATCATATCAGTATTTCCACATCTAGAATGGGATTGCCCAACTTTTTCTTTTATTTACTTACATCATACTATCTAGATAAACATGAATTTATAGATAAATGTATTAGCTTTTAAACATGATAGAATTAAATTTGATAGAGTTAATATAACTTTGGGATATAAATTTTACACCCAGAGAATGTTAAAAAAGAAACAAAAAAAAAAGTACTGATTTCTCTTGTGCTTCATTCATCATTTTCTTGAGAGTAGATTGGAAATTTTGGAGGAGTAATTCTATATAGTTCTAGAGTGGGGAACTTCTTTATAGGGTAATGAAAAGTCACCTACACCTGAATTGAAATATAGGTCTTTTGAATAAAGTTTACATATATATTACCGTGAAAAAATGTTGAGTTTCAAATGCTTAATAAATATATTTCTAATCATATACAAAAATTTCATATACATAAATTGGAAAGTATTGTTTATGACATAATTAAAAGAAATTGTTTTACTTCACATTCAATTTACTGTAAATTTAAAAATAAAATTTAAGTCTAAGAGGAGACTTTGAATAGAACTTTGGTAGTTTATGACCAAATTTTGAGAGTGTTGTGTTTTGTGGGGGGGAAAGTGGTATAAGGTAGCATCTCATTCCCACTATACAAATTCCACATTTATTGATTTAAGTGATGCTGCTTCCAGTCTTCTACAACTCCTTTCCAACTCTTTTTTTTTTTTCTCTTTGATGGAATAAAGTCATATAAGAGGCCAATGCACTTTACAAAACTTCCACGTATGGAATGGATTTGCTAATAATAAATGAAATCTAGAATAAATATTTTAACTTTTAAAGCAGATAATAAACAAAATTCTTGACTGTGACATTAAATTTTTATATTATAATAAGTGATTTGTTTTATTCAATTATAATTATACCTATGATAATAAGTTAGGAAATAAAAATAATTATATAAAAAATATCAAAATAGTATTCTACATGATAAAAATAAATAACAAATAAAAAATATTAAAAATAAGTAAAAATAATTAAATGTGCGTCTTAGAAATAATTTGATACACGGTTGAATAAAATCGAATTCCTAGTTTTCACTAGACAACATGTTTAGCTACCGTTTACAAGTCGATAAGTCTGACAGAGAGGATATGTGTTCAATTATATAAGCTTATTTATTTTTATAAAGTTCTATTATATACTTCTATTATAAAGATCATAACTAAATAAAGCCTTAACAATTTTTGTCACACTTTATAATATGCAATTCAATCAAGAATAAGCAATTTGTGAAGACATTAACAGTATCTTGACTCAACTTTTGGAATAACATGTATTGTGGTGAATATGCGTCAGTCATGCACTTGTCATGTAACTTCATATTGAATTATAGCAACAATTATGACACTACCTGACCTAAAAATACCAAATCCTTCGTGATACTCTCACCAATATCACTATAGGAACTTCCTTCAACTCTCATCTCTTAAACTACATTAGTGAGTTTGTAAGTTTAATACAATTAGAATGACTTACTCTCAAGACTCTAATTCAATGCATACCATAAGATAAGGTGATAATTTGCCTTAAAATTGTCCATATTCATATAATTCACAAATTAACTATACTATCTAACCACAATTTCAAGCTAAAGAGCAAGAAATCATCACCATCACTTAGAACTCACTAGTGCAGTCAAGGGAAATGACAGCGGTTATTTTCGTCCATAGGCAGCGGTTCCTCAACCAAGGCATATACAGGCGAGACAAAACGTCTACCCCTTTTTCCCTCGGTTGTGAACCGAGTCAAAAAGCGGTAGGATTTCGCCTCGGTTCCTGCTGAATCGAGTCAATATCTCAGATTCTACTGCCTCGATTAGGACCTGAACCAAGGCAGTATAGTGGTTTTTAAGCTACAGAAAATGTTCCAGGAAGTTTCCTGTTGAAAGCATAAAGCACTGAAGCAGGCTTATCTCCACAGTTCTTCTGATAATGGACCAAACCTTTTGGAAACACAGAGATTTCACCTTTCTTAATGGACCTTGAGATGAGCTTGTTGGTTGTGGTGATAAACCCCACGTCTAATTGACCATCCAACACAAACAAAATCTCAATGGCATGAGGGCATGTGTGAGGTGGGTTAAGTCCCCTAACTTTATAGTCTATTCTAGAGAAAGACACTCCCAATGTGTTAAGTCCTGGAATTTTTTCCACATTGGCTGTAGTAACCAAAGATCCCAATGTGTTGTTGATAACTCCAGGTTTGGCTAAACCAGGAAAGAAGAAATCGGCTTCTGTCACATTCATCTCTGCCTTGCAGGCAAATCCATTCACCTTCACACATGAACACAATTAATTACACACCATTGGTTACTGCACTATTTTCCTAAACATAACTTTGGCATATTTTCCTAAACACAACGAAGCAATTCAAAACGCAGATGGACTTCCTCGAAGGTGGACTTCCTCACGGTCAAACCCAACGCAGATGCAACGAAGCTCTCAAAGAAACCCAAACGAAGATGAAACAAAACTCCCAGACCCAAATCTCACCTTCTCATCAAATCGCAAAAGCAAACGCAAGAACAGGATCCCAAAGTCCCAAATCGAAACCCTAGAATGCAATGCACCGTCGCTAAACTCCGACAGACCGAGACATTCTCCGTCACAGAGACGCCAGCGAACGAATCAACACGAGTTCCCTAACACCCCCGTCCCCGCGTTGTTAGTCTCCGTTACAGAGCCTCAGTCCCAACATTCTCATCATCGCCACTTCCTCCTCCGCCACCTTAATCGTTGCTGCCTTCGCCGCTTCTCCTCCGCCGCCGCACCCTCCGCATCTGCCTCCACCGCACCCTCCGCATCTGCCTCCGCCGCTTCTCCTCCTCCCCCGCCGTCATCAAACCCTAATTCGCACCACCATCATTAACATCAGAAAAACCCCAATCGCAAGTCGCCGCACTCACCTTCTTCACCAGAAACCTCCATTGACGCACCATCACGACGCTCCGTTCATCACCACCTAGCACCGTTGCCAACCTCCATGTTCGTCTCCATGCCGCAACCACGTTCAACCTCCATGGTCGTCGCTCATCAACAACCTCACTTCACTCCCAACGGCCACCGCTTGCTCTTCCCTCCAGAGGCGATGCACTCGCAGGCGAGATGGAAGCCGCGCTCGCAGCCGTTGCACGACGAGGTGGTGGTGGCTCCCAACGGTAGGGTTTTGGCGAACAAAGAGCAAGGCGAAGGGATCTCGTTTTCGGCTTCGAGTTTGGTCACCTTGAGTCTCTGCGTGGAGGGGGACATTTTGGAGCCGCCTCGTAAAGGAAAAGAAGAGGAAAAGGGGAAGGGGTCGGTTGTTTCTCGAGGAAGAAGAAAATGAAACATTGCTGTAGGTTATGTTTTTTTTAGGCAGAGCGAGGTTAAGAGGTAAGTAATACTACCTCGGTTCAGCTAAAGCAATACACACATATATGCCTCGGTTCTACTCACCACCGAGGCATATAATCCTTAGAAAAAAAATATGAAATGGTTATACGCCTCTGTTCCCGTCTAAACCGATGCATAAACATGGTTTCGCATCGGTTCTGAATGAACCGAAGCCATAGACTCTACGCAGACTTCAAATTTCAAAGATTGTCAGAGGGCAGGTCGACTTTTAGGCATCAATTCTAGTATTAACCGAGGTAATATGCCTTATATGTTTCAGATCCCCTTAAACCGAGGCGTATAAGTTCGCTTAAACTACAAAAATGTTACGCTTCAGTTTCACCTAAACTGAAGCCTATATATAGCGCGAGTTAAAAAAGAATTTTTTTACTAGGGACTTACTCTTTCCTTCTCATTTATACAATTCACATCATAACATCTTTGGATCATATTTCTGAAATAGATTTTTGTCATACAATCCACACTCTATTCAACCTTACACAAGTAACATGCAATTCTCATATCATTCATTCTCATTCAAACAAGTTTCATATTATATCTATAACCTGAAAACACAATTTTATTTCTTTATTTCTATGTGTTTTAACTATGTAATATACATTAATTCTTTTATCTTTTATTTTTGACATTTTATTTGCTAAGAGAAACTATTTGAGATAGGAAGGTAACAAATACTGTGGCGCTTATTAAAAAAAGAAATTTTGCGACAAAAAAAATCAGGTATTATTGGATTATTATATATTTACATAACTTAAAAGTAATTTATGAATTAATATACAAAATTAAGAAAAACATAACTCTTAATAGGAGATAATAAATCTACATGTTAATAATTTTTATAATAATAAAATAACATAAATATTAATATGATTTTCAATTAAGTATTTATACTTTCCGTATTCATCAATAAAAACTATTTATTAAAATTTTAAAAGATGTTGGTTTTATTTATTTATCTTATTTTAATTCTTCTAAATAAATATACCTTTATAATCCAAAAATAAATGAAGATTTTTATTTCATATTATTATTGTGAAATGATGTGTAAAGAAAATAAGTATTTATTATTTAATATAATAAGTAAAAATAATCACTACAAGAGTGAAATTATAAGGGAGTATTCATAAAATAAATGTATACATACAAGAACAATTATAAGGTGTATCTCGTTATTAAATGTTATAATCTTTTTAAACAAAAATTCTTATACAATACTATATAAAATAAGAGTTTAATTTTCATAATTAAATGAAAACTGTCCAAAAAAAATAAATTAGTTTATTATAAAAAGTAAAAATAGTTATTACAATTTCAAAAGTGAAATTATAAAAAATATAAAAAAACAGTTACAAAATTATCTTTATTAATAATTATAAACAAGTTAAAATAGTTAACAATTTCAAGAATAGTATCCTGAAAAAAGTGGGTAAAGCTAAAAAACATTTGAAATTGTATTAATTTATTAACGGCTATAGATAAGAATGCATATTCGGCTATCTATTTATTATTAGAAGTTAGTATTAACCAGAAATTATAATGTGATAGGTTGACTAAGACTTTTCCAAGTCTTCCACCATACCGTTGGAGGCTATCAAATTTATTGTTACTAACCAAATCTAAATTATATTATAAGCTTGAGTTTCGAACTTACATATGAAATCCAAATTAATTAGATCACTCGCTACTAATTTAGTTTCATAGTGATATGATCTAAATTATAAAACACAATTAAGAGAAGGTGTCTTTATAATTGTACTTTCAATTTGTTTGAGGAGTTAATAAATAGTGGAATAACATCTCTATATTGAATCCCATATATTTTTTAAAGGAGTAGAAATTCAATAAAATTATATTCTCATGTTTAACTTTTAAGACAATTAAATATCTTGAGTTAAGGTAAATTGGAATTTATTAAGGTTTAATTGTAGTTGGAATAAAACCAAATTAATTTATATTTTGAATTGAATTAAATGACTAATTTTCTGCATATATGATTTATAAAATTGATGAATTTTAAGTGACTGATTAATTTTCTGCGTGTTTATAAAATTGATATCAAAAGGGTCATGTTGAAAGGAAAACTCATTTTTAATAGAAATTTGAAATTTGAAATTTGATTGATAATTAGCTTTCATTTATTAAATTGTATATGAAATTTGTAATATATGTGGTTGTATTTCGTTTTCTGTAATGCAACAATGACCCAATTTTCAAAGTCTTCTTGATTTGTTCCGAAGAATTGGTATAAAGGGACCCACATTATTGTTTGACGTGATGATTACTCGAGTCTTCTCCAAGTCTTTTTATTTACTCACATAAAACTATTCAAATAAAATAATGTTCACATAAAATAGTATAAACATAATAAAAATCATATGAAACTGAATGTCACTGACAATTGCAAAAAATCTAATATTAGATTTTCTTACCTTTTTTATTACCTGTGTAGTTCACTTTTATTAGTTAATATAATTTTCTATATCATTTATACACTAAAAATACTTTAAAAAAATAGAAGTGGTATGTGAGTAAAAATTATTTTTCTTCAATTGAGATATATATAGAGTGCCCTAGTTATGAGGAAGTTGTGATCTGTCTTGTTCATCATTTTTTAAAGTATATGTGAATCTTTGAGCAAGAGTGTTTCTACAATATTCTATGTTTGAAATTTTATAACAGGAATTTTATACTGCTTTGACTAACTTAGGTTTAATAGGTTCGGAGGTCCCTATATTTGCGGGTTCGTTTCAGTTAGGTCCTCCAATTTTTAAAGTGATCAATTGGGTCCTTAATTTGGTAAATGTGATTCAATAATAGGATCTCCGTTAAATGTAGTTAACGTACGTTAACTTTGTTATGAAGT